TAGTCATTTATTTTACATCATCATTTAATCACAAAAAAAAGTAAAAAAAAAAAAGTCTGTATAGTATAGTCTGTATCATCAGTTGTCTGTGGAGTACAATGTAATGAACTTCCGAAGTACTAGGCCTGGCTGGACCAGCACTTGTAGAAGGACCCATGCTTGTAGTTTGACCAATGCTTGTAGATGGACCAATGCTTGTAGATGGCCCCATATTTGTAGATTGGCACGTGAATAAACTGGTACATGTATCTTGGTTTATTCCAACGAGTAATTGTAGAACCTGACTACGAAAAAAATATTTTTTTTCAAAGTCTAGTCTTCTAGCTTCAGGGAGGATTGAATTGAAGAATGCCACGTCTTCATCAAAAGCAAGATTGTTGGTAGAATTCCACATCTCAACTAAGTGTTTCTCAAACGTAGTCGTTTCCTGTGTATTTTTCTTACTTCTTTTATAACGGACGTTCGACAAATCGTTTTCTGGGCCCCGGTAATCATTTTGTATCAATGGATTGTCAGAAGTTTGTGAATTTTCAACAGACTCGGATTCTTGAACATCGCTTAAATCGGTCACAGGGTCTAAAAATAACATACAATCAGCAAAAACAGATTTCCTTTTAGGGATAGCTCCATAACACGATTTCTTAAATTTTACGGCCGTTTTATAAAGTACGTATTGATCTCTCGCACTTTTCACCTCTGATGTATACTCTTTACTGAAACAAGTAAATTTATTCTGTTACAGGTACCTTGCATCTGGAAACACATTTACTGATCTACATTACTCTTATCGTATGGGGATTTCTACAATCCGTGGAATAGTGAAAGAAGTATGTCAAGCTATTTGGGTTACTTTAAAAAAACTAAGTCTTAAAGCTCCCGAATGAACCTAACGAATGGATTGAAGTTGCCAAATAATTTGAGAAGAATACAAATTTTCCGCAATTTGTTCGAGCACTGGACGGCAAACACATACGCATGATAATGCCACAACACACTGCTTCACTCAATTTTAATTTCAAGGGGTATTTTTCAATTGTTTTACTAGCAATGTGTGATGCAAACTATAAATTCCAATATATAAATGTAGGAGCACCGGGAAAAAATTCTGATGCGGGGATATTTAGAGAATCGTCACTTATGAAAAAACTTGAGAATGTTACTATCAATCTACCTTCACCTAAAGCGCTTCCTGCAATGAGGACTCCGGTTCCATATGTGATACTCGGTGATGAAGCATTTGGAATTACACGTAATATTTTGAGGCCTTATGTAAGAAAAAATCTTAATTATAAGAAGAAATTTTTTAACTATCGTCATTGTCGTGCTAGACGGATGATTGAATTCACTTTTGGAATATTAACTAATAAGTTCCGAATTTTTCATAGACCTCTTAATGTGAACACAGACCTCGCAATCGACATCATAAAATTTTGTTGTGCATTACACAATTTCATTCGAGTAAAAGATGGTTACCATCATCAAGATACTTTGGTAATCCACGGGCTTGCAGACTCAAATAATTCAATAGTGAACAACTCAATTGGAAATGAAGTTCGTGGTCACTATGCACATTATTTTATTTCAGAAGAAGGTAAAGTTGATAGGACTATTGCATTACATAGGCTGCGAAATAAATAAATTTTATGTTTTGTACTTACGTGTTTTTTCTTTTTCTCTCTGCGCCCAGTCGTCAACATTTTCAAATAACTGTTTCATTATTTCCACCCAACAACTCTGTTTCACATCCCTGTCTTTATACAACGGGTATCGTAAGTCCCAAATAGAATGCCTTTTCTGAACTTCTCTTATAATAATAAAATATAAACGCACACGCGCACGTCCAACAGTGAAAGCTCACAATGCGGCAATGGACCGCGCGCCGACCGGCACACGCAGGGCGCGCGGGCACCGGTCAAGCATTTGCGCTGGTCGGACGTGTCGAAACGCGCCACAGTGAAACCTACCATAGGTTTCAAACAAATTGCACCAGTCGCGTGCGCACGCTGCAGAATGAAAGGAGCCTTACAATACATCGAACAAAAATATCTACTTGAGTTATTTGCACAAAATCTTCCCTCTGCCGGAAAAAAAAATATACCAAAAAAGTTGAAATAAAAGTACCTATGATTTCTTACCTGCTACTATTTATCATTATTGTTATGATTAATATTTTTAAATACTATTATTATTATTGTTTTATTGATATTATTATAGTTATTTATTATTATTAATCTTAAAATTATTATTAAAGATTAGCCTTAAAGATGTTTAACAAAGGTGAATTAGAAAAATTTGTTTGTTCATTCAGCAGTGCATAATTACCATTATTACTTTTTAAAATTTCCAACTGCTCCAGCACACACAGTCGGGGATGCGATTGCGATGCGATTATTACAAGTATGTAAGACTTCAAAAGAGTGGTCGCTAGCTAGGTTGTGTCCAGAAGAGTTGTGTAAGTAGAGTCTACATTACCTGAAGATGCCTCGTGTAGAGGCGAAACACGTGTCGTATTATCGTCGATGGTATTTCTTACCTGGAACAGTGGTGTTGGGAGTAGTGGTGCTGGGACTAGTGGTGACGGAGTTAGTGCATGCAATTGAGGGAGGGCGGGAGGTGCTCTTCTCTCTGCAATCCAGGTAAGACACATCATTGTATTTATTTAGCGGAAGGTTGCAAAGCAATTTATATTTTTATTTTTTATTATAATGGATTTCCGCAAAGTAACGGCTGATTCTATCTGACATCGAGACGTGATATGACATCGAGACGTCAAACACTTATTTTCAACGTAGCCATGCTGCAAAACGCTCGAAACGTAATTTCAGAGTAAGTTAGAGTTAAACGCAATAATTTTAAATTAGTTTCATGTGAGGTAGTTGTAATTATTAACGAAGTAAGTTTTCGCTTTGTTTCTATTGCAAGTTTTCATTTAAAACTCATATTATTTACTGTTGTTCGTAAAGTTGTTCCTGATAGAGACTTTTAGTCTCCAAGTTTGGAACAAATAGTTTTCACCCTAATTTTCAAACTTGCTTGAAATTATTAATAACTTAGTATTTAACTTTAAACGGCTGCAAAATGTTCGAAATAATTTATTTCATAGTTTTAGTGGCATTCTTGACTCTTAATAATCTCACTTAATAATTAATGAATAATCCATAAAAGAGGTTAGCCATCATTTCTTGAGCAAAAATAACGATATTGCTGTCATAAAAGCTTTTTACTGTTTATTTTTGCATCTAATAACACTACGGTAAAGTTGCCCTTAAATTTTTGAAATTGTCATGTGAACGAGTGAAGCCGGCTACAGTCGAGCGTGTACCTGCTGTACTGCCATATGTTAGAGGAGTCACTGAAAAGATTGCCTACATCTTGAAGTGCGCTTCCATCAAAACATACTTCAAGCCGCCCAAGAAGATTGGTCAGTTTTACCATCAGTCAAGTGTAACGTCCCTCTGCAAGATGCAGGAGTGTACAAGCTTGATTGTGAATGTGGTCTCTCCTACATAGGACAAGCTAAAATATCAGTTAAAACGTTTGCAGTCTGTAAACGCATACATGATCGCCCCCGTCATTACATCAGATTTGATAGACCACAAATCCTCGCTAAAGAATACCGATTCCTTCCAAGAATGATTCGCGAGGCTAATGAAATCAAAATACATCCTAATTTCAAAGGAGAAGATGGCTGGGTGTTACCATCTGCTAGGGATCCTATAATAAAAAAATTGAATCCCAACCCAAGCATACAACTGTAAGACTTCAAGATACCAATAACAAAAGTAAAATTTTAATCTATGGTAACCGCGGTTAACTATGACATCCGGACGTTGAACATCTCAGTCCCCCCGTGACCATGGGTACTGAAAATGCTCGAAACGTCGGGTAATTAAAAAGTTAAATATACGCGACAAAATCCATAAAACCTAGTATTATTTAAATGTGTAGTGTTTGCGTAAATATAAGAAATCGTAGGTACTTTTATTTCAACTTTTTTGGTATAATTTTTTCCGCAGAGGGAAGATTTTGTGCAAATTACTCAATAAGATATTTTTTGTTCGATATATTGTAAGGCTCCTTTCATTCTTCAGCGTGCGCACGCGACCGTTGCAATTTGTTTGAAACCTATATAACCAAGGTTTCACTGTGACGCGTTTCGACACGTCCGACCAGCACAAATGCTTGACCGCACAAGCCCCGCGTGTGCCGGTCGGCGCGCGGGCTATTGCCGCATTGTGAGCTTTCACTGTTGGACGTGCACACGCGCACGTCTAACAGTAAAAGCTCACAATGCGGCAATAGCTAGCGACCATTACTTTGAAGTCTTACATACTTGTAATGAGGGGATGCGACTGTGTGTGCTGGAGCAGTTAGAGATTTTAAAAAGTAATAATGGTAATTATGAACTGCTGAATGAACAAGCAAATTTTTCTAATTCACCTTTGTTAAACATCTTTAAGGCTAATCTTTAATAATAATTTATAGATTAATAATAATAAATAACTATAATAATATCAAAAAAACAATAATAATAATAGTATTTAAAAATATTAATCATAACAATAATGATAAATAGTAGCAGGTAAGAAATCATAGGTACTTTTATTTCAACTTTTTTGGTATAATTTTTTTCCGGCAGAGGGAAGATTTTGTGCAAATTACTCAATTAGATATTTTTGTTCGATGTATTGTAAGGCTCCTTTCATTCTGCAGCGTGCGCACGCGACTGGTGCAATTTGTTTGAAACCTATGGTAGGTTTCACTGTGGCGCGTTTCGACACGTCCGACCAGCGCAAATGCTTGACCGGTTCCCGCGCGCCCCGCGTGTGCCAGTCGGCGCGCGGTCCATTGCCGCATTGTGAGCTTTCACTGTTGGACGTGCGCGTGTGCGTTTATATTTTATTATTATAAGAGAAGTTCAGAAAAGGCATTCTATTTGGGACTTACGATACCCGTTGTATAAAGACAGGGATGTGAAACAGAGTTGTTGGGTGGAAATAATGAAACAGTTATTTGAAAATGTTGACGACTGGGCGCAGAGAGAAAAAGAAAAAACACGTAAGTACAAAACATAAAATTTATTTATTTCGCAGCCTATGTAATGCAATAGTCCTATCAACTTTACCTTCTTCTGAAATAAAATAATGTGCATAGTGACCACGAACTTCATTTCCAATTGAGTTGTTCACTATTGAATTATTTGAGTCTGCAAGCCCGTGGATTACCAAAGTATCTTGATGATGGTAACGATCTTTTACTCGAATGAAATTGTGTAATGCACAACAACATTTTATGATGTCGATTGCGAGGTCTGTGTTCACATTAAGAGATCTATGATAAATTCGGAACTTATTAGTTAATATTCCAAAAGTGAATTCAATCATCCGTCTAGCACGACAATGACGATAGTTAAAAAAATTCTTCTTATAATTAAGATTTTTTCTTGCATAAGGCCTCAAAATATTACGTGTACACATATGGAACTGGAGTCCTCATTGCAGGAAGCGCTTTAGGTGAAGGTAGATTGATAGTACCATACTCAAGTTTTTTCATAAGTGACGATTCTCTAAATATCCCCGCATCAGAATTTTTTCCCGGTGCTCCTACATTTATATATTGGAATTTATAGTTTGTATCACACATTGCTAGTAAAACAAATGAAAAATACCCCTTGAAATTAAAATTGAGTGAATCAGTGTGCTGTGGCATTATCATGCGTATGTGTTTGCCGTCCAGGGCTCCAAAGCATTGCGGAAAATTGGCATTCTTCTCAAATTATTTGGCAACTTCAATCCATTCGTTAGGTTCATTCGGGAGCTTTAAGACTTAGTTTTTTTAAAGTAACCCAAATAGCTTGACATACTTCTTTCACTATTCCACGGATTGTAGAAATCCCCATACGATAAGAGTAATGTAGATCAGTAAATGTGTTTCCAGATGCAAGGTACCTGTAACAGAATAAATTTACTTGTTTCAGTAAAGAGTATACATCAGAGGTGAAAAGTGCGAGAGATCAATACGTACGATATAAAACGGCCGTAAAATTTAATAAATCGTGTTATGGAGCTATCCCTAAAAGGAAATCTGTTTTTGCTGATTATATGTCATTTTTAGACCCTGTGACCGATTTAAGCGATGTTCAAGAATCCGAGTCTGTTGAAAATTCACAAACTTCTGACAATCCATTGATACAAAATGATTACCGGGGCCCAGAAAACGATTTGTCGAACGTCCGTTATAAAAAAAGTAAGAAAAATACACAGGAAATGACTACGTTTGAGAAACACTTAGTTGAGATGTGGAATTCTACCAACAATCTTGCTTTTGATGAGACGTGGCATTCTTCAATTCAATCCTCCCTGAAGCTAGAAGACTAGACTTTGAAAAAAAAAATTTTTTTCGTAGTCAGTCTCGTTGGAATAAACCAAGATACATGTACCAGTTTATTCACGTGCCAATCTACAAATATGGGGCCATCTACAAGCATTGGTCCATCTACAAGCATTGGTCAAACTACAAGCATGGGTCCTTCTACAAGTGCTGGTCCAGCCATGCCTAGTACTTCGGAAGTATCTCCTATGAGTGCATCATCGTACTCCACCGACAACTGATGATACAGACTCGTTAATTGATCAAAACTATAACTGATTTTTTTTTTTTACTTTTTTTGTGATTAAATGATGATGTAAAATAAATGACTAATTCATTAACAAAAGTTTGCCAAACATTGTGACTGCTAAGCATTCCGTGGGTGTTATAGCTATTCGGAGTAAACCAGTATGTGCCATTTCGTTTTCTATTTCAAACTCAGTTCGTCAAATGTGCTTATTGACATCCTAAAATAATTGAAAAATTTATTTTCACACTCAACACTACACTCAACAAACGCTCCGAAGTGCATGAACAATTTTCCTTTTCGGTTAGCACGGCGTTTTTTGTTGTGATGATATAGCACAATCAAAATAAGTTTTTTTCTATTAATTGTATCCATGACTGTACACGTCCAGCCCGGTCGAGTGCACACGCAATACTGTGAAATGCTCAACACGACCGGCAGCGCTGCACGCGACAGGCGACACGCTGCAGAATGAAAGGAGCCTTAATGATTCGCCCGTTAGATTAATGTTAAGAAAAATAATTCATTTTCACGCTGGCTTGGCCGACTTCAGATCTAATATCCGTAGAAAATAGTACCTGCACGTGGTAGAGAAGACTTTTACATTGAATAGAAAGTTTTGGATCTGGTTCGAAATGATTCGCAAACTTTGTTCGTAACATTGCATTATTGGCAGGAATACCTAAGACAACATTGTAAAAAAATCATGATAACTTTTGTACTGCGTGTAAATGCATCCAAGACTGAGTACCTTGCAACAGCTAGACAACCTAGACAGCCACAAAACGTTAATGTTGGCAACCAAACCATAAAAGGCGTGAGCAGCTTCAAGTATCTAGGAGCAACGATTACCTCCCAGAATAGATATGACGAGGAGATTAAGGCACGGATAGTTGCCGGACATAAATGCTATTACGCGTGTGCCAAACACCTGGGTTCTAAGCTGCTTAGTATGAAATCGAAACTCACCATCTACTTCACCATCATCAGGCCTGTTGTAACTTACGCCTATGAAACCTGTATTTTAACTCAGAGAGACGAACTGAAGCTTGCCGTGTTCCAAAGGAAAGTGCTGAGAAAAAATCTATGGCTCCATAAAAGATCATGACGGTATCTATCTTCAACGCATGAACCATGAACTGGACGCGCTTATTGGGCACGAGAACATTGTCAGGTTCTGTAAGTCGCTGCGATTGAGGTGGGCGGTTCACCTCGTAAGAATTCCGGGCACAAGAGCCGTAAATATAATGACAAAGTGGACGCCGCAACAAAATAGACTGAGAGGCAGGCCTAAAAAGCGTTGGAGTGACTGTGTGGAAGAAGATCTAAGGAAGATGGAAAAGTTTACCAGCTGGAAGAAGGTAGCCAGGCAGCGTGACAACTGGAGGAAGATTGTGGAGGAGGGTTGTAGCGCTAACGGAAGTATGTAAGTAAGTATTTCATGATTAATAGGTTATGTAGTAAAATCACTTGTTCTTGTGATAGTCGTTTGAATAAATTGAAAAGGACATAAAATAATGCAGTTTTGAGGTCATCAATAAATAAAGTAAAATAAATTTTAACCTATTTTAATTGTTTAATTATTTTCTGCAATTAATTATAAAATGTCATCTAGAAAAGCAGCCGGAGGCTCTAATTTGTCTGTTCTATTTTTCTCATAATCCAAGTACCAAATTTTTGTCATCATGTGGATGCAACAAACTACTATCCTGTAATCCAAAGGAAAAGCCAAGGGTCAATTCAAATAAATCCACGAAAGTAAAAATACGAAATCTATTCATAAACACAGTCATAATGCTAAATGCGCATGACAAGTTAAAACTCGATTTAAGTTTCCATATAGTGTGTTATTTATGTAAATCTCCTTCGTAACATGCAATGATTAATGACCATACAATCTTTTCAGTCTTGATAGATAATATTCAAATATTTTTTTAGTTTAATAGCCTATTCAATTGTTTCTTTAAAATTTATTTATTTTATTTAATATTTATTTCTACAGGTTCCGCTCAATGTTTCAATATTATGATTTTTTTTAATAACGAATGCTATTTTATTATATAAATTCCTTTTTACTATCTATTGCCATAGACAAAATAATGAAAAATATAAAAAGACGTGGTGGTTTTGGAGGAAGCTTGACCGTCGATGATTGTTGCTCATGATCAATCGTTTAAATAAATTTTTAAGTGGATTTTGATAAGTAAAAATGATGTGATTTTCTGTGTTAAGTATCGGCGTATGTTAACTATTAGAAAAAACGATGAATTAAATTCCTTCAATGAGGATATAAACCTAAATATATTTAGATGGCTCAAGCGCTTTATGAACTTCCGTCTGCTGGGCTGAGCTGTCGTCAATATCTCCCAAAAAATTCATAAAAATAAATTCCCGAATGAAATGAAGACACGGATTAAAGGGCAAGCATCCAAGTCAAAAAATTTAAAATGTTTCGTTTTTGCTATAATAAAAGAATTAACTTTCATTTTTAGTTTAAAAAAATGTTTTTGTGACTATCTCATGTACTATGGAAATAAAAATAATTTACCTATGCTCATAATTTATCCTATTATAACCTACAATTTTTTAAATAATTCTTAGTAGCGATGTCAAGCAACCAATTTCATACATCTCTTTTCTAAATTGTCTCTTAATATAAAATATTTTATAGATAAATAAAAAAAGTCAAAAAATATATAAAAGCATTCATTATCAATTACTACCGGACACTTAAATATTTAAAATATGTTCTCTAAATTACATGAAGTTGCCTAATAATTTTGCAAAATGTTAGTATTAAAGAAATTTTTACATTTTATTTTATTGTATATTAAACATTATTAACGTAAATGACGAAGAAAATTAAGAAATTTGCTGATTTGTAGACTTAAGATTACCGATCAAAATGAACTTTGATGAGTTTCAGAAATTTTAATAAAGTAACCAAAAGAAAATTTATATCGGTGGTCTCAATACCGAACCTAAGAAATTCATCATCGAACTTCAGCTATTACATCTTTGAGAACATTCATTTAAATTTCACTAAATCAAGTTTCTTACATATTTTATAGATATGATGAAATATTTTGTATTTGTTTTCTAAAACATCTGTCATATGTATTTAGAAAACAATCACATAATTTTTATCGGGAGTTATCTTCGTAAAAGAACGTAGATGTCGTTCGTTGGCTGTCTTAAAACTCGACAATGGGGAACTCCAAAAGACCACATACCCTTGTGGATAGATATTCAGTCTGGAAATGGAAAGCAACGCTGAAAATGCAATAGTCTCTAAGCGTAGCAAATAGATCTGAAGAAAATTAACTCAACTACTGCAGAGACCTACAGTCTATTATACTATCCGCGACCTGATATAAAAAATAAAACACAGATTAGAACTGTTCCTCTAGCAAGAAATCAAATTTCATTAGCTGTTTATTTTAGTTAATAATATAATATAATTAATACCTCGTAGTTGTATATTAATTAAATATTCAATATTAAAATTATTTGGTCTTGTGTTCGATGCATCTTGTCGATTGGTAATTTCAATAAGAGTATCGTCGTTATTTCTTACGGATCGAATTCCGGTTATGGCGCCCATTCTCAACGTAGACTAGCCATCTGCGTGAGACATGATTATAGTGCCCGAGTGTATGCGTAAGCACAGTTGCTCTATCACTCATCATCTGACGGGATGGTCAAAATCGACTGCATCAACGAGAGTTTTGCACTGGTTGCGCCAAATAACACACATTTGAAATCGTGTTAGTTAACTATATTAGCCGGCAATAATCGCTAATCCGCTTCTAATCTAATCGCCTTCTAATCTGCTCCCTTCCCTCACGGGTATGCCTAATAGGGGGCTAGACATGGTGGCGTCATTTGGTTTGCCTAATGGGAGGCGCGCTGGCCGAAAATGAAAGGCGTGCGACCAGTAGCAGAGCGCAATCTTGGCCGTGATAGCAACGTGTAGTAGTCGAGCCACAGAACAGTACAAATTTTCGTGTTGACCGCTTGCACAGTGCAATTTTGTTGTGCACAAGTGAATTTATCGTCGCGTCTCGCTCGCACTAATTGCAACGTAGTTTCACCAGCCTCGAGGGCTTAGTTAGAGGCCGCTCGCAGAACCACCCCCGGTAAGTGCCTGTTCCTTTAAATCTTCAGCTATTTTCATTGTTTGTTCTTTTTCGTTAGTAGCACATATTTCCCATCGTGCCAGCTAATGTAGTAAATTAATTTGTAGCAAGTATATTTGTCCAAAGACCGCCACGTGCCGCATCCGCACTTTGTTTGGTTTGTAACGAACTACGCAGATACAGTACACCAATTGATTCAACCCAGAATACCTTTAGTTGTTCTTGCACCCAATAATTTTGGGGTCATTATTCCTGGAATCGCACCCGGGCCCGGGACCCTGTAGCCCAACCATTTAGTGTTCCTTCGCTCTGGATTTGAAAGGGAAATCTGGTCGCCCTACCATGCACTTTATACTCAAAATCACCAAACGGTATTCGTTGATGATAATACAGTTTTATCCATCAAATATGATGACGTTGAGGCTATAAATAAACATATTTCTAGAAATACTTTTGAACCGCTCGTTCCTTCAAAACCCTATATATAATATTTATGCTAAATTATATCCCAAAATAAAATACAAAAAGGACAGTAAGCTACAGGTGGGGAAATTTGGGGTCAAAACCTGAGTTACTACATAGAGTATAAAGCTATGTAGAACCCTTCCTGTTAAACTCTTCA